TGTGCTTGGCTTTTGCAAGAAAGAACCTCTTTGTATGGAGTATTTCCATTTATAAAATGAAACTCATTGGATTCTCTTATTTACTTAAACAATTTCTACCTCATCTCTCCACTAACCTGCCACCTTTTACATCTTAACCAGTATGGAAGGTGGAGTAGAGGAAAGAGAGGATCGTACATATCAGTCACAACATTTGACAAGAATTCAGTGGTACATGAGAAAATACAACTTCCACTTGTTTGTGCTTCTCAAAGATCAGTCAGAGCAGTTCTCCATGATTCGTCCTTTAAACATTCTTGATCTTACTGTGAGCAGACTGGGACATTGTGAAAATCTTTAATAAAAAAATATAAAGTATATATATATGTATGCATATATAATATATACACATATATAGAGTATAAATAGGAAAAAGTACACAGATCTTATGTGTACAGCTCATGAACTTTCACAAACTGAAGATATTCATGTTACCAGCACCCAGATCAAGAAACAGAACATTACGGGTCCCACAAAAGACCCCTGTTGGGCATTGGGCCTCTTCCCAGTCACTGCTTCCTGTCAAAGGAACTAGTGTTCTGACTTCTCACCCCATGGAGGAGCTTTGCAGTCTGGGCCACTTTTCCAGCGTTCTTTGGCTCTTCTGATGAAGCTCCCAGGAATCAAAACATCTTTATTGGAAGGTTAGGGTGAAGAGGGGATAGTGATAGGAAGAAGAGAATGGTCCTGTGATTCCTCCTCACAATGGAAGGTGGAGGAAGGCCTGGTTGTTGAGGAGGGATATGCAGTATGAATAAGTACTTAATGTCTGCAAAGAGGGTGTATTCTTTGTCTATAAAAGGTACAGGAACCTTACGAAGATTTTCAAGGTTTAAGAATATCAAGAAATTCTCCCTCCACCTTTTGATGATCTGTCTGCCTCCATTGAACCTCTTTCCTTTCTTTTGTAGACCTCAAGTCCCATAGTAGAAGAGGACTTCCACAGAATGAGAGATGCTTTTGCCCAACCTCAAGGCGCTGGTAATGAGCCTTAGGGCAAGTTCCTTTGAGAATCACAGATGTTTAGAGCTGGAGCTGTCCTTAGAGATAACCTCCTCCAGGCCTTTCATTTTACAGTATAGAAAACCTAGGCCCAGTGATTTCCCCTCATTAGCACGAACCCCCTGTCCCTCACCAGCATCGCGACATCCACACGTTTTTTATACCCCGCCTTGCATTCTTATAGCACATGTTGTAGTAGTTGCCTCTTTTTCCCCTCCTGTCTTTCACTAGATTTCAGGCTCCTTTGTGGCACATAGTAGGTATTCAGTTATCTTTGCTAAGCTGACCTGAGGGAGTTTCCCAGGCCACACAGCTAATTATGGACACAACAGAAATTAGAACTACATTTCCATGTCCTTCTCCACCCCAAAAGGCAGAGTTTCACCATTGTTTAACTTTGCTTGGTTAACATCTTTGCAAAGAGTTCATTGCAGCCAGCAGTGCAGAAGTAAACATAACGTCTTTCCTTTGGGAAGCCTTGGGTTCTACATAGCTTAGCAACTGCTTTCTGTTGCATGAGAAGTTAACTTGGGATCAGCAGCTGGAGTGTGGCACAAGAAAGGACATAAGCGAACCACCAGTTCTGATAAAGACTTTTAAAAAATTGTGCACTTTTGCTCTTTTAAGGTATGCAACTATCTATTTTAAAACTAGAGATATCTACCTACCAAGCTATGTAGCTGCCCACAGTTAGATCCCAATGCTCTGAACCCAGGCAGGGCGGGCTCAGAGTCTGAACTCACTCTCTTTGTCCTGCTGTGCACTCCAGCTTCCATCTCTAAGCTGATCCAGGCCCCAATCACAGTTGGGAACATTTTAAGAAGCTATAAGCTTTTAGATGACAGTTAAATTCTTGGGACAATATGTATTAAAAGTCCCCAGACTTGGGTCTTGGGCCACCTACTTCTCTGTGTGGAGCCTCTGCCCACGATCACTTTCTGAGTGAGCTTAGCCTGCACATGGCCACTTGGCTTGTTTTTGGAAGAGGGTTGAGTGGGATAGAGGAGTTGTGGGGCAGGCAGGTCAGAAAACCTGGGCTAGTTCTATCCAAACATCTGAAGTACACGAAGAAGCTTCTGATTTCCACTCTGTTTTCTTCTTTCAGCCCTTCTCACCCCGCTTTTCCCCTAGGGCAATGAAACGATGAAATGAGGATAACAATTGGAAGCAGACTGGCTTCCAAACTTAGTTCTGCCACTGATATTTTATTTTTCTATATGACCTTGGGCAACTCACTCTCCCCCAGGGCCCTACTGTCCCCTTGCGTCAAGTAAAGGAGCGGGTCAGACTCTAGCATCTCTTAAGTTCCCCTCCAGCTCTAAGTTATTAGGAATTTGTTTATGCCCTCTAGGTATTTATACCTTCTGGTATTTGAAAGAGGGTCACAGGAAGAAGAACCCCAGTGCTTCTGATGGAGTTTCGGAGCTCCTTGGTATCTGTTAAAGGTGGCGCTGTTCTGGTGCGTCATCTCATTCCTGGACCTAAGGAATGGCTAGGGAATCATGAGCATTTGCCAGCAGGGCAGGCTGCTCTTTCCCCTCCTCTATAAACCAGAGCAATATAATAATGAGAAAGAAAATAGATGCTGGTCCTGTTTGCCTAGAGGTCTGCAAAGTCTTACTGAGAATTGGGATAACTTCAGACACTTGATGCCAAGAACAGAAGACAGTTGAATTAGCTCCTTAGTACTGAAGACCGCCCCCCCCCCACACACACACTTCTTAAATGGTATTTGATGGCCAAGAGGCACGTTAGCGCTCTGGGAACGCCTGGCTAATGGTCTTTTATTTTTGGAATCTTCAGTGAACAAACAGTTCTTGGTTTCAACGCCCCCTGGTGTCTGTTGACAGGAACCAGGTCAGTTTGCCTTCCTGAAAAGACAAAACAACATTTGTCTCCAGAAATAACTATGTGGTTCTAATTGAAAGGCTAGTAAATGGTTTGATTGTATTCTGAGTGTCAGAATGTAGTTCTCCCCTCTGAGCAAGGAAAATAAACTTTCAGAGCAAAACCCTCTCTACAGTACTCAATCCAAACCCAATTAAGAAGCACTTTGTTTATCCAGATTATTTCTCATTCTGTACCAGACCAAGGGAAATTGAAGGGAATGAAAATAACAATCTAGGTTGGCAAAAATTCAGTAAAAAAAAATATTTACTCTATTCTTCCGGGTGAAGAAAAGGTCCAAATGAGAAAAAACCTTGGAAAGAATGCTGAGATTTTGACCAGGTCTCAATTCCACCCTATACGAAGGTATGTGCTATTACTTTATTCACAGTTTCAGACTCATAGAAGTAATGTTAAATAATGATAATGCCCAGTATTTATATATTGCTCATCTTAAACTACACTCGCCACTATGTTGTATCTGTTGTAAAAATTAGCTTCGGGCAGCTTACCTTTGTTAGGACTTGTTCAGCAGAATTGTGAGGGGTCACAGAAAGGGGATTCTGCCTTTCTGTCTGTGTGACCTTGGTCAAGTTTGTGAAATAGGACTATGAATCCTAACTGAGAATGTCAACATAGGAACTAAAAGTAATAATATAACTCCTGGGCACTTATCCCAGAGAATTGAAGACTGATATTCACAAAAACACTTACACAAAAGTTTATAGCCACTTAAACGTGGCCAAAATCTGGAAACCCAGATGTTATCTAACAAGTGAGTGATGTAACAGGCTGTGGTAATCCATACCATGGAATACTCCTCTGCAATAAAAAAGAATGAACTATCGATATATGCAGCAACCTGGCTAAATCTCCAGAGAATTATGCTGAATGTAAAAAGCAATCCCTAAAAGTTATTTACTGTGTGTTCCACTTATTTGACTTTTTTGAAATAAAATTATAGAAATGAAGGACAAATGAGTTATTTTCAGGGTCTAAGGAAGAGGTGGGAGTGGGAGGGAAGTAGACACGGCTATAAAAGGGCACATGGGGATCCTGGTGGTGGAAATGTTTTCTGTCTTGACTGTATCAGTGTCTGTATCTTGGTCGTGTTGTTGTCCTGTAGCTTTTCAAGACGTTGCCATTGAGGGCAACTGGGTAAAGTGTATTTCTTAAAACTACATGTGAATATACAGTTATCTCAAAATAAAGTTTAATTTAAAAAATCATAATAGATGTCAGGTGCCTGGTACAACAACATTCAATTTACTTTCCTCCTTCTGGGCCTCCATTTCCTTATCTATAATAAATAGCGCTAGTATTTCCTAAGCAGCTGTCATATGCCAGATATTCTGTTTTGTCAAATTTAATTAATAAAACAACCCTCTCAGGTACATACTATTATGTCCATTTTGCCAATAAGGAAAACAAAGTTCAGAGAGTTTATTTTTTTCTAAGGTTGCACAGTTAGTAAGTGATTATATCAGTCAGGCTAGATTATGCTACATAACAAACAACCCCTAGGTTTTAGTGACTCAAAACAATAAAAGTTAATATTTCACTAATGCTCTACGTCCATCATGAGTTGTCCAGCAGTGTTCTGTGCTGTATTACCTTCTATAAGAGAAGCAAGCTGAGAGAGGTTCCATCTTTGTGCTTCTTTAATTGCTGAGGCAGGAAAAAGGGAACATGGTGAATTGTGCACTGGCCTTTTAAAATTTCTTCCCAAGAGTTACATCATTTTCACTTAAATTTCACTGGTTAAAACAAGTCATGTGGCCATTTATGTAAATTAAGAGGGCCAAAAAGTGCTGTCCTACTATGTGCTTGGAAGGAGCAGCAAATATTTTAGTGAGTAGAATTAATAAGGTCACAACTCAAATCCATAGTTCATGCTTTCCTTTATAACATTGGTCTTGCAGGATTGTTGCAAAGATTAAAAATGTGAAAACGTAAAAAGATTTAGCATGGGATCTGGCATATAGTTTGTGTTTGACAGGTATTGAGGTTGAATCCTAAATAGAATGGGTCAAGTTCGTCTTCAGTATTCTTTTCGATGGCCATTTATTTGGCACAAACCTCTCTCGGCCTCTCCTGATAGTCTGTGCCAGGAAGCTGTCTCACGGTCAGGCCCCATGGCTGTGCCCACTGCTCCAACCTCCATCCCCAGGAAACTTCCTATGCTCACTGATTTCCTCAGTAACTTGCTCAGTGTCGTATAGCATCATCAGCTGACTTCAGATAGGCTGACCATTAGAGAGTATTTATTCAGTCTCTTGAGCTTAGTGCCCTTTCTGATACTTCTCAGACTGGGCTGATAAACTGGCCCCTTGTACCAACTTAGTGCACTCTGCTGATGGGGGATTCACATAATTTTCTCACTTTCTCTCTTACAGTACTGAAGGTGAACAAGAGGAGACCTTAAAGGAGTCACCAAAGGAACTGAAAGAGAAAGACATGTATGACCATCTCAGGGTTGCCTAAGGATACTGTGCAAAGTTTTGGTTTTAGGGGAATAGTGTTTCCTTTTTTGTAAGAGTCTACATTTTCCCCATTTTTATGTTTACATTTAATGTGATTCTGTCTCTTCTTTTACCAAAAAGATGCTATCTAAATTAATAGCATCTGACAATCAAGGAAATACAGTGATGATAATAATAATAATATAGCAACGTATAAATACTTGAAGTAAAATAAATCTGGTTTCCACACAAATATACTTTCATCTATGAACATAGTTCATTTTTAGCTGCTGAGATATATTTAAAGTTATATCTCTGTAAAATATTCGCTAATATTCTCTTTAAAATATACAAGATATTCTAAGATAGTCTCTAATTCTGTCCTATTGCCAAATAAAGATTTTTGTCAACATCATCGTTAAAAAGTACCTCTCAAATATATTGTTTGATTTTTCTCAACATCTACCAGTTATTATGTGCTTTTAATTATTTAGATCATTGACAGACATTCAAGACCTGTCTAGTATCTCCTATGAACAAGATGGTTCTTTTAAGGAAGTCTCATGCAAAACACCCAAAATAAACCACGCACCTACTAGTGTCAGCACTCCGCTCAGCCCAGGTAATCACTCATGGGGAGGAGAAGCATTTGAGAGAACTAATGACTCCTGCCCCAGTGGCTCTGGAAAGCCGGCTGGGGGCAGATCTGGTAAGGATTTTCTCACAGCACAGAGGTGTTTCTTTGGGGCCAAAGCTGAAGGAGATAACCCCATGGGAGGCCACATAGAGGTGATGGTGATGATTATTAAGCAGCTTTAAGGAGGTATTTTACCTTAGTGGAAGAGACATGCACATGCAAAGTCTATTCTGTATCCTAAGAACTATTGACTTTAGTGCAAATACATGGCATTCTCTAGAGTTTGTAACTTCAAACAGTACTTTGTGCTTAAATATACACAGTTCTGAGTCCTGCAGCTGTATACAGCCACCATCAATAGCCTCTCTCCAGTGTCCTTTCCCCAGTATATTTGTGGTTCAAATAATCTCCCTTTATTTTGGTGACTGAATTTGGAAATTGTTGTTTTTTCATACTTTGAGGAGCTGTATCTCTGTGCAGTGAATGTTTCAGTTATTAACAATTTGGAGAATCCCCAGTATAGGTGTAGAATTGTGTGGGGTTTTTTTGTTTTTGTTTTTAAATAATATAAAGGATTCAGACACTAACTGCCCACTTTTCTACAACAGAGTCAATTTCTTCAACTGCCAGTTGCTATAAAGACTGCCTTGAAAGTATCCCATTTCAGGTGAAAACAGGGTCTACCTCATGCCAGAACAGTCAAGAATCTATTCGAACTTTGTCTGATAAATTTACGACAGTCCGAGAGAAAGCCAAGAGCCTAGATTCCCTCCTTACTTCCTCTGAAACTCTCCCTTCAAGATTGACTGATCTCGTAAGTATACCAATTCTGCATTACACTCTTATGGAGTCAGTGCAAAGGCCTCCATGATCCAAAGTGCCATTTTACAAAGAAAGCAGGAAATAAGCTGGATCCTTCCCAGGCTTCCCTGGGGCTCCTCTCTGTGTTTGTATTGTAGGATAGGTCCTGGGTTTTTGTGCCTTTTTTCCCCCTAGAGATAGTGTTTGGCAACCTCTGCCATAGCTTATGATGCTATCTTCACCAGTCATGCTCTTTCTCCCTAACCATACCATACCTACCTGAGGATGCTTGAATTCTGCTTTATGCTTGAAGCCTCCGCTGGTTAGTTCCCTGAGAATTTTGACTGATATCCACCCCCTGAACTAATAGTTGGCAGTAAAAACACTTAATTATATTCTTCCTTCTCTCCTTCCTTTTTATTCTCCCTTTTCCTCATATTTCATATGTATAGTCTCTTCAAGAGAACCACAATTTCCTTAACTTGGCACTGCTCACTGAGGACCTGTTGACTGACCCTTCTATAGCAGATTGATTACTGGCTTTGGCTCTCAGTGAAAAACCAACTGTCATCTTTGGGCAATTGACTCACAAAAGGTCTCTCTGAAGTAGGACCATAGATAATTTAATGCTTTCATTTAACGGACTGTTAATCGGGCAGGTTCTAAGTGCCCGGCTCTATGCCAGGCCCTCTTCTAGGCATCCAAATGTGAATAAGAGAGTCAGTCCCTGCCCCCAAAGGAGCTCATCGCCTAGTGAGAGAGACTGGAACACAGAGGTAAGTTTTGAGTGCTGCAGAGGCAAAGAGGGGTGAGAAGGCTTCCTGGAGGAAGTGACATTTAAATGAATTTGACTTAATCAACAAACAAGTGGCTTCTTCCATTGATGATACATAGGTTTAATCTTGAAAATGATTGAGTTGCATGGGCCTTTTTAGCTCAATACATGTGTCAATTACCGTATTTATATGTTACTTACAGAAAAGATTGTCTTCATTTACTGGAGCTGGTTCCTCCAGCAGTGTTAAGGCGCCTGACACATCATCTCATACCACTCAGAGAAGGAGCCTGCAGAAAGGTACCTGTGTTTACTACTGAAATACAAGTTCATAATAGTAAGCCCATTTAAGGGAGCCTTAGTCTCATCTTTGATGCTTTATTAGATTCAAACAAAAATACTGTTTCCCCCGATTATAAAAGTAAAACATACTCATTATAGAAAACTTGGAGAATAAAGAAGAGCCTAAAAAAGAAAACCACCATCTAATTCTATTAACATTTTTTAACTTCTTATATTATATTTTGGTACATATTTTTTAATATTTTTAGAAATATACAAAAAAAGTACATTTTTTTAGCATAGTTGAGGTCATATTGTATATCAGCCCTGGCCTGCTTCTTTTCTTTGTTGAGGTATTTTGAGGCTTTCCCCCGTCAGTAAAAATTATTTGTAAATGTATATAATGGCTGCATAATAATCCATTCTACATATGTTGTGTAGCCATGCCCTTACATTAAAGACTTATATTGTTTTCCAATTTTTGCTCTTTGTACAAAAATTTTTATTTGAACCTCTGCTCTTTTCCTTGGGGTAGATTCTTGGAAGACAATTCCATATCGAAGGGTATGGGCTTATTAACAGCTCTTGAGGCAATATTGCCTTTGCCACGTTAATTTTAATGTCTTGAGTCTTTGGTATAACTCTTAGAATTTCCCTCAAGGGGATAAGGATTTTGTGAATTATGCTGAGGCATTTTGGTTAATATTATAATTGAGCACTTGGGGAAAGGCCCAAAGTATAGTTGCTTCTATATCCCCTGGCCTGATAATGTATGGAGAAAGGCCTGGTCCAGAGCCTCTATATTCCTCCAGCAGCCCTGTTCCAGATTGGGACCCTAGCCACTGAGTAAGAATTTGTACCTCACCGACCCAAAATATCCTTGGGGAGCAAGGGGCACAGATCAAGCAGTACTGGGGTAAGGTGAGGTAGGAGAGGGTTTAGAGTAAAAGAGGGTGTAAAGCCATTCACATAGGAGGACTCAACTTGGCCTGTTATTATATGAGGCTTTCTCCCTACCTCAGTTTGTTTCATCATTGAGAAATCCTAAGTCAAATCCATGTGGGAGCCTAGAAAACCTGTTCAGGTTCAGGAAGATGTTAAGTCATTTCCCCCTTATCTTTTTAAGAACTAGTAGAAGCCATCTCGAAGCATCACACTGATGAGCTACCACCACCATCTCAGGAGCTACTGGATGAAATTGGTAAGGGATGTTAATACAGAATGTAGTCAGTGGCCCTGCTGGCCTCGGATTATGGCTGAAGACTGGTCAGGATAATTGGTTTCTGTCTGTTGTCATTTCGTTACTTACAGGGTCTATGGTAATGATTCTAAGAGGAAGTAACAACATTCAAGTGATTTATTATGATGAACTCTTCTACTAAAGGAATTCTTATCTCCTTTTCTTACCAAATCAGCCATAGGTTAGAGGCCTGAAATTCTGGTCACTGAGACCAATATACTCAGTACTTTCAGTTTTGCCATTAGCAGGAGGTATAGAAGGTATTGGCATCATGAATGAATCACTTTCCTGAGGGCAGAGAAGTCAGTGGCACAAGACCTAATGTGACTAGAATTTTCCATTTCAGGCAGAGACTGAGCAGCACCAGCTCAGTTTTAGTTGTACCTTATCGGCTGGCTGTGCACAGCTGAGCTGACGTGGAAGGTAAATGGTGTGTGGTTTCAGAGACATTTGCGGCAAGTGGTTTGCTTTCCCAGGGAAGACCGGACTGCTCTCTTCTTGACAGCCTGACCAACTAGCCCCTCATCCTCAGAGGACACAGCTCATCAGACCTCCGATGGTCCAATTCTTGGTATGGGGCCTCTAGAGAATTTCCTGAGGGACACCTCTTGGTTTTTAGGGTTTCAGAGGTGTTGTGTCTCATCAGGAAGAGGAAGATAAATGAGGACATAAGTGGTCTGATTCAGCAGAAAGCTACTGTCCAGGTTGTCACAACTCTCAGCCTTTGACCACTGGTCTGATGAACTTGAGTAGAGCCCGTCAGAGTTGCCAGAACCTTCCTTAGTTTCTTTCTTTGTCTGTAGTCATAGGCTCTTCTTACCTCATCACACCCTTTCCTTAATGCCACAGGATTGTACAGGTCACAGGATTGTTGGGTCAGGCTCTGAGGGCCCCCGCTTCGACACCAAATTTTCATCTTTGGAACTCCCTAGGGAGCCCTTGCAAAGTCCTCCTCTCCAATTGCTCTTCTTAACACAGCAATAGAACCGCTGCTTTTGAGGGTAGAGGTCTCCCGTGCTTGTCTTGCTCAGGTAGATTCTTAGGGTCATCTGCTCTTGGTCATGGTTTAAGGAAGTACTTGTAGGCCCTTTTGCCGTTTGACTTTAGTGATATTTTTCCTCTGGATCCTGCTGTCTTCTCTGTTTGGTCACCATGTAGACTCCCCCAATTTAGCATCTGTCACGAAGCTTCTTCCTAGGCTCCAGCCTCATGGCACTGCTGCACCCCAGCACACTCTGCAGAAACCCTCCCTCATTTTACTTATGGGAATTATTTGGGTCAGGTTTCTAGGTGATGTCTGTACTTTGAGATGGGTCAGTAGTTTTCCAGGAAGACAGAGGGCAGAGGGCATATGGGTAGCTTCTCCTAATAATGGGCGCGCCTACCTGATTATTGTCTGTCACCACTGTGTTGCTATTTCCTCTCAAGAGAGCTTTGGGGAGTGACTTGAAGCTGACACCTGCACTTTCAGAGGGCCTGCATCCAAAGTCCTAGACTTCTGACAAGGCCCTAAAGGGAAGGGTGTTTTAGAGCCCTAGGATATAGGTGATCTTCTAAGACCAACAGGGGACTACTTTTAACAAAGATAAAAATGAATTTTAAAATTTCAGATTATATTAAATGATCTTATGGGGTCCCTTGATGCCAAGGAGCCGCCAGGTAGGGCCTCTTCCTGACCTACAGGAAGAGAGAGATCTGTGCCTGCACGTAACAGGGCCATGCTGCTGGCAAGCAAGCCCAGGGCTCTTGTCTTTGCTGCCTCCCAGCTGTCTCTCTGCTCTGCTCTACTCTGCTCCCGCTCCCACAAGCACCTAACAAACGCAAAGCAGCATGCTGAGTTTAGTGGACTTTTGTCTTGGTCTAGTGATCAGTTCTTTAGGAACTGTAAATTATGCCTTTGTCTTCCCCGTAAACTAGGTGAAAAATATGAAATATAGACCAATAGAGATGGGGAAAATTTGGGGTGGCTCTGATGCTCTTACAGACTGTTTGAGAGATTATAAAATAGAGATTAAGAGCATAAACCTTAGAGCTAGACTGCCTGGATTCAAATCCCATTTCTACCTCTTACTGTGTAATCCTAGGTAAATTCCTCCTTAACTTCTCTTTACTTTCATTTACACACCTTTAAGCAGGAATAACAATAATGTGATCAATCTCAGGGTTATTGTGAGGATTAATTGTGAACATTAATCTTGAATTAATACATGTAAGTTAGAAACAGTACCTGCCACATAGGGCTCTTCAGGTATTACCTATCATCGTTTTCATTTTTTTTGTGTGTGTGTTATTTGTGATTGACCGTCCTAAAGCGGTCATTCTCAGATTTTATCAGGCACTAGAATCACCTGGAGGGCTGGCTAAAATAAGATTGCTGGACCCCACCCCCAGAGTTTCTGGGTCTGGGATGAGGCCTGAGAATAACAAATTCTCAGATGGTGCTGAGGCTGCTGGTCTGAGGACCACCCTTTGAGAACCACTGCCCTAGAGAATGGTGTGACATGCAAGGGAAGCATTAAGTTGCCTTCTGCTTTTGTGTTGGACAGAGCACTTGAAGCAGCAGCAGGCCTCATCCACAGTTTTGGAGAACACAGCAAGTCCTTTGGGCATCGTTGCAAATGGTAAGCCAAGTACCCAGATCTTTCTGATCAAGTTCTTGCTGTGACTCTGCACTTGGCAGCACAGTGGTACATTTGGGGAATGTGGGTCTTTAGGGCAGGCACAACTCAACCTTGATTCTGACTTTACTGCTTTTGTGGCAAACTGTTTAATGTCTCTGAGCTTCATTTACCTTCATCTCTAAAATGGGGATGATGATTCTTACCTCATGATGTATATAATAGCTCCATGCACAGTGCCTGGTACACTGTAAGATACTTAGCAAATGTTAGTCTCCTCCCCTTCATAGGGACTGCTGGCAGGATGGAATGAAATCGCATAAGTAAAATGCCTGGCATACATTAAAGGGTACTACCCTTCTCCACCCAAATTTTTTCCCTGGGGCTCCAACCTAGAAACATCCAACAAGTAAGAACAGGGTAGTCCCTCAAAGTAAATCTGTAATTTATTTTCAGGGTCTCTTGCTTCCCCTTTTATGAACCCTTTCCCCTCTCTGCTCCTTCTGTCTCTCTTGAGCCTTGGCACAGGCAAGGTTTCCTGTAGCTTCACCTGGCACCAAAGCACTCTCAAGCCCCCAGAAGCAGCTGCTGTGAATATAGGCACCCTGCAGACTGCCACCTGGCCCCCTGCTCTCCTGGGAAGAAGGGAACTAGTGCATTGCAGACTTCAGGGGCCACTGATGAGCCTTAATTTTTTGCACTCCATTTTAAAGCAGTCTTTCTGAACTATTTTTTTGTTGTTCAAATAAAGTTAAATCTTTCAACTGGTTTTAGATCAAAGGCATTTAGAAGAACAAGAAAATAACAGTAAGAAAGAAGATAGCAGTATGCTTTGGACCAAAGAAACTCAGGATCTAGAAGAGGACACAGAGAGGTAATAGCAAAACCTGGGCTTTTGAAAAGATTTAAAATACTGTATTAGGTTGTATTAGTTTTTTTTTTTTTTTTTTTGATATCGACAAATAAGAAGAAGGAAAAAATGGTCTTTTTTCATACTATTCTAATAGCTCCTATTCATAAAAGTTTTTTTAACTTTTGTAATAAAATACACATATCAAAAATTTTAATTGTGCCATTCACTAGTATTACATTCACATTGGTGTGCATCCAATCTCCAGAACTTTTTCATCTTGGAAAACTGAAATTCTACACTCATTAAACAACTCCCATATCCCCCTCCCCTCAGTTCCTAGCAGCCACCATTCTGCTTTCTGTTTCTGTGAGTTTGACTACTCTTGATACTGCATATACATGAAAACATAGTATTTGTCTTGTTGTAACTGGCTTACTTCACTTAGCATAATGTCCTCAAGGTCCATTCATGTGACATGTGTCAGAATTTCCTTACTTTTTAAGGCTTAATTTTCATCGTATGTTTATATATGTGTGTGTGTATCACATTTTGTTTATTCATCTGTTGGTGGATACTACTTGCTTCCACCTTTTATCCATTGTGAATAATGTCGCTATGAATGTAGGTGAACAGATAGCTCTTCAAGATACTCTGCTTTCAGTTCTTTTGGCTATATACCCTGAAGTGGTGTTGCTGGATCATATGGTTAATCTATTTTTAATTTTTTGAAGAAACATCATACTGTTTTTCACAGCAGCTGCACCATTTACATTCCCACTAACAATGCACAAAGGTTCTAGTCTCTCCACATCCTTGCCAACACTTGGTATTTTACTTACTTACTTATTTATTTTTGATAGTAGCCATCCTAATGGGTATGAGGTGACATCTCATTGTGGTTTTGATTTGCATTTCCCTAATGATTAGTGATGTTTAGCATCTTTTCATATGCTCAGTGGCTATTTGTATATCTTCCTTAGAGAAATATCTATTCAATTTGTTTGCCCATTTTTAATAGGGTCACTTGTTTTTTTCTCATCAAGTTGTTTTTTTGTTTGTTTTTATTTCATATTATAAGGTAAACACAGGTTTTGACTTCTTTCAAAACATTTTAGTTGAAGGGCTTGGAAGACAAGTTTTAGATCTTTCAAGTCAAATAAGAGAAAATGGGAGCAATCATCCAGACAATTTAGTCAAAAACACGAGGTTGCCTCAAGAAACCCTGTTCTCTTCCTGATTCAGAGCTCTCCTTTGACCTGTGTTGTAAGCTAAACCACTTCAGCTCGCCTCCTTTGCCTCCTGACTTCTCCTTCTTTGTCCTGTCATTCAGGGCTAGGACTAGGGTGAGGTGAGTGAGACATGCTCCTTCGGCAGAAAATTGAAGGAGGCACCAAAAACTTTAGGAGTCAAGATAATTGCTATTTTGATAGAGTATTTTTTAAAAATCAAAATCAATACAGAAAAGTCCATTATGAACAAAATATCTGCATTTTGAAGAAAGAGAGGATTTGAATCTGCCCTTGCACCACTTGTCTCGTCCTAATCGTGGTCCTGTGCATCCTTAGGGTAGCCTTGCAGAATTCTTTCAGCTGCAGTGATAGAAAACCCCACCATGGTGCTTAAATGAGTTTGTCTCACACAACAAGAGGCCCACAGGTTGGCAGAGCACACAGCTGGTGTAGCAGCTCAAAGGTGCCACCAGGAGCGTTGGCTCTTTTGATATTCCTGGTCTGCCACCCGTAGCAATAGCATAGCACGTTGGCCCTTATTTTCAGGCTTGTCACCTCCTGGTTGCAGGATGACTGCTGTCCACATGCCAGGCAAAGATAAGAGGGTGGGGCAAAGGAATATTCCAGCTGACAATGCCCCTTTTTATCTGGGAAGCAAAATCGTTTCCAGAAGCTCTTCCCAGGAGATGCCTACTTATATCTCAGTGGCCAAATATGATGCACGACCACCCTCAGTTGCAGGAGAGACTGGAAATTGAGCTTTTAGCTTTCCAGCTGCTACAGAAGAGAAAGGCAAGGGAGAAGGGTATTAAAATAACTTCTACATAGTGAATCCTATTTCTGTCACATTTTTCAAGCGCAAAATTATTCTCTGAAAGGGAAAG